AGATCTCGCTTTGATACTACCACTCCCCTTGGCCCATAACTCAGACAAAGCAGGCAGAGGGGCAGCGATCATTCTTCTGTGAATGGATTCAATTGTCTGACTCCAGGGACACCATTCCCAAGGCAGGGGGGCCAAACCTGGCTTCGGTTACACTTGGCATCCTTAATGAGCTTGAAAAAGAAGAAAATCTTTTGAAACATGAAGTCAAGGAAGGGAAAGAAAGTTTTCCCAAGCGTGTTTCTCCTGCTCACTTTAGTGAGCCATGGAACTCTTAATTTACAGCCTAACATGAAGAATATTTCCTTCCAATTGGTATTTAAATGGAGATGAAATAGGCAGGAGTTGTTTACGCCTCCACAAATTATTGTGCTGAGTAACCATGTGTATTTATGGATGCAGGGAGTGAGATAGAGAGACATAAGGAGAAAGAAAAACGGAGAGACAGATAGACTGACGGCTGACATACTGACAAATAGACAAACTGACAGAAAGACTGACTGACAAGTGATTGACAGATGGACCTGCTGACAGACAGGTAGACATCCTGACAGATGGACTGACGCCTGACTGGCTGACTGACTGGTGACTGATGGAGGAACACAAACAGAGAGAGTATAGGACATGATTTGAGGTCCTGCCCAGAGAACCCCAGATAATCAGCTCTGCCTAGAAGTGTGAAAGAGCTGAAAATAGATTATCACCTCCTCAAGATAAGATCTAGGAAAGGGGAGAGAGCTTGGTGTGCTATGGGAGAGAAAACACTGTTCATAGAATCAGAGGGCCTGGGTTCAAATCCTGCCTGCTCCTGACATTTGCTGTCTGTGCTGCTCAAGTCAAATTACTCTCCCTAGCCGACAGTTGGGTGGGCTGACCACTGAGGAGCCTTCCCACTCTAGGGATCTGTAAATAGAATCCACCTGGTCCTGAGTTAAGTCTGGCAGCATCACAGTCTCCTGCCTAAGTGAAAACACCCTTGACCTAGCCAAAAGGAATGAAACATTCACTGAGGGTCTACTCTGGCCAAGGCACAGTGCTAGGTCCCTGGGATGGAGCACTGTCCAGGCCTTCAAGGAGCTAACAAATCTCATCCAAGAGACATGCACTCTACATGGTAGAGAGGAATCAGGGCAAAGGAGAGATCCAAGGTCCTCTAGTAAAATCTTAGGAGAAAAGGATCCCTTTTAGCTGGAAAATTGAGGAAGACTTCATGGAGGAAGTGGCACCTGTGGTGGGCTTTGAAGGGAGACAAGAGTTTCAATAGGCAGAGATAGAGAGGGACTATGTTCCATGAAGGGGGTGAGGGGCAGTCAGAAAGGACGCTTAAGAATGCAGGGCACAATTGTGCAGCACTTTGTAGCCTGGTTTAGCTAAAGGAGAGAAGGTGGGATCTGAGCACAAAAGAAGGCTTGAAAGGGAGTTTGGAGCCATAAATGTGAAGGTCTAATTGTTAGACCAAAGAGATTTAGGGATGTCAGTGAGCTCAGGAAAGAGTTTGAGGCTGTAGAAAAAGTGGGACCTCAGAGCAGAGAGACAGGCTCATGCTTAGACCAGTGAGTGAGGAAGATTCTTTTGGCCACTCTGGGAGAATGGATTGGAGATGGGAGACAGGGTGAAGAGTAAGGAAGTGACCACAGACACAAGTCCAGGCCAGAGGCCTGACCCAGGGGAAGTGATCCAACCTGAACAGAGAGGAGAGGATGAAAAAGAGAGAGGGGTGGGGAGGGAAGGAGAGAGAGGTGGGGGGGGGAGAGAAAGAGAGACAGAAACAGAGAGACAGAGACAGAGAGAGAGAGCTGAAGAAGGAGCCCTCCATGTGAAGTCTTGAGGTAGGTTCACATCTGGATCTGTTGTAGCAATCTTAGCAATCTTGGAAACCATGGTGGCTCCCTAGACCTTGACCTTGGTGCCCAGAACCTCAAAGGGAGGCAGTTGGACTGAATGAGTGGGCACAATGAAAAAGGCATAGGATTTGGAGTCAGATGACATGTATTAGAATCCTCCTTTTGATGCTACCTGTGAACACTGGGCAAATCCCTTCACTTCCCTTAGACTCAGTTTTTTCATCTGTAAAATAGGGCTGTTGTATTTGATGGCCTCTTAGCAATAAATCCCTGATCTTATCACATCTGTGGATGAGAGAGATGGGAGGGGGAGTAGACTGGGGACAGTCCTAGATGGAGGAGGCTTGAACCTGTTATCTTCTCAGGGACCTTCTACGAAGTTTCATTGATTTTTTTTCCCATTGTGTGGCTTCCCTGTGCTATTAGATTTACGGTGTGACTATGACGTCAGATTATATTTGGTTTTGAATAGTCATTATTTTTTGCCATTTGGTCAGAGCAGGTAGATGGGTTCAGTGGAGGGGGGGGCTGCATTTGGAGCCAGAGGACCGAGGTTAGATCCCTGCTCTTCTACTCACTCCTCCAATGTCCTTGACAAAATATGCCTCTCCTAGCCTCAGTTTCCTCATCTGAAATATGAAGGAGATGGATGATGAACTGGCTTCTGCAGCACCTGCCAAGCTACATCTGTGATCTTAGAGAAATCTGTGGGCCTCAGTTTCTTTATGTGTAACCTAAAGAGGGAGTACTAGAAATCCAGAGATGTCAATGTAAAACTCCCGGGTTAAAATATAATTGGGAAATGTTTAACCAAATAAATAGGAATACAATAGAGATAATGTTCATTTGCGGCTTCCTAAGTCAACCTGCTGCCCCCAGGGATCTGCTTCTATTTGAGCTTGAACCCCTGGACTAGAAGACTATGAAAGGCCCTTCCGTCTCTGAATCTGTATCCTCCAATGCTCGTTCAGTCTCCCCCAATAGGGGAAGGGGAAAGAAACAAGCATTTATTACATGCCTACTATGTGCTGGCACTGTGCTAAGTGCTTCTCCAATACTAGCTCCTTTGATCCTCACAAAAACCTGGGAGGTAAATGCTGTTATTATCCCCATTTAAAGTTGATGGAACTGAGGTGGATGGAAGTGAAGTGACTTTCCCAGGGTCACACAGCTAGTAAGTGCCTGAGGCTGGGTCTGAACTCAAGTCTGTAAGCTGTAGCCTAAGCATAGCTCCACATGTACAGAAATATTACTGACGACAATTTTGTAAATGATCGTTGGAATTGGTATAGTTCAGGGGAACAGCTTCTCGGACAGAACGAAGATACTGAGGCTAAGCATCAGGAGACCTTTCATCTGGTTCTATTGCTCAGACTCTCCAGTTGTACCCCCTTCTCAGATGCTACCCACTCCCACACCTCGGGTTAGTAAGAAGGCATAGATGGAAGCAGCACCTGCCCCTTCCCAGCGCCACCGCAATGAAGGGACAGATTCTCTCAGCCATTTGAAACACTTTGAGAGCATACAAATGTATAAAATGAGGCCATATTATCCTCAAACTAGCACACAAGCTATTTTCTCCTGCGTTTTTCAAAGGAAAAAAAAAAATCCACTTCCAGAAAGAGCGAAGTTTCTGCCTCCAGCCTCCCTGCCCTGGAATTACCCAAGCAGTGTATTCAATAGAAATGTTGCTCCGCGACGCTTCTGTCTTCAGGCACGATTCTAGGTACAAGCTGTCTCCCTCCACCACCAATAGGACAGCTCTCTAAGGACAAACTCAGCTTCACTATTTTTTCTTTGTGCCCCCAGGGCCTAGGATAGTGTCCATCTCATTGATAAATGCGCATTGGCTATTTCTGAAGGCTGTTTAGTTTGCCAAGAGAATTTCCTCTCTGGGCCTCAGTTTTACCATCTATGCAATGGAAGAGTTTTGACTGGATGACCTCCGAGGTTCGGACCACTCCGCCTCTCCCTATTCCCCACTTCCCCCCCCACCCCCCCCACCCCACCCCGGAAAACAAACACAGGCAAGCTGGGGAACCTTCCCTACCTGCCATTAGTTCGCAATGGCCGTCATTGGAATCCGGGCGCCAGCTGCATTGTTGTGAGTCACAGTTCTCATCTGGGTCCACCTTCAGCGAGCATGCGGGTCCTGGAGGATCTCTGGATGCTTGGACAACTGCTGTCCGCCTCTGGCAAGCCTAGAAACAAGGGGAAGTGAAGGGAAGGGGCGGCTCAGCGCTGTCTGTCCGTCTCCGTCCTTCTCCTGAAGTCCACGTGGCCGCAGTCAACATCCATCTGTCTCTCATGTTTACCCTTCCTTTGTGCAGTTTCCGTGGGGGAGAAGGCCAAACACGCGGCCAAGGCCCAAAGTCAGTAATGAAGGAAAACAGCTTGGTGACGGGCCTCTAGTTTTCGAGAGAGCTAACTGCGGGAAACCAGATAGCCGCCCTGGCGATTAAATATTTATTCTAGAAGACAATCACATTGTTCTTGAGAATCGCCACTCAAAGAGTTTATTTTTTTGAAGAGATGAAGTGCTGAGGTCGCCAGTGCAGATTGGCTAAATTGATTTTGATCCCACACTGAATGCCATTCTAATCCCTCAAGATGTGGAATACCACCCGGCTCTTTGGCATCGTTTGTCATTCACTGTCCACTGAACAGCCTTGATAGCCGGCTTCCAAACCATCGTTTTTATTGATTTTTATTCACTGTTTTACTCTGGGGACAGAGGCAGCCCAGCATCAGGGAAGGAGGGCTGCAAATGGAACCAGAGAACACCGGGGTTCAGTTCTAGCCTCTGACATCAGCTGTGTGACCACAGGCAAGTCACCTACTCCCTCCATGCCCTCAGGCAAGTGCCTAAGACTGGGAGTCTGGAGAAGTGGCTATCGCATTGGTGGAGGGAGTTCTCAGAATGCTCCTTACGCCAATGGAGTCACAGGATCCTCCAAAGAGAAAGGTCATCCTTTAAAGATCAAGGATCAGGAAGCAGTTCTGGTGATCCCCCACAGAAAACAATCCATTTTCTTTCTTTTGTATTTTTTCCCAAAGTTACTTTCTGGGGGGAGGGGGCGCTCCCACAAAACGAGTCAAACATATGTTCCTGAAAATGCAAACTAATGTTTTGTGGAACTTCTTTTCTGAATTTTTCAGTTCTGGACAGATCCTCGATCAAGGTCGGTCTCTGGAAGAGATGAGGAGAAACTTTCAGTTCCCCGCAATTGACAAAAATGGTAAGGGCCCTACCATTTGAAATACTTCAAAAGCAAAAGCTGCCCTTTCGGGGTTGATATTCACTTAGTAGACAAGGATTTTTAAAAAATTAAATTTAATAACCACTAACAAAAACATTCAAATATAATCACGTACTACACACTACTATTTGTAGATTGTTTAAAAAAACATCTGTATTAAATTTAGCAAGCTAATAACCCTAACCTGAACCATTACTAGGGCAGGGCGACTGGCACTTTTTGTCATGAGTGAAGACTGGATAACCTTTTGTTGAAAGATCATCAGGCACCAATATTTAAAATAATTATTTTTAAACTTTATTACATTTTTATTTCCATAGCAATTGTCTGGCAGCATAGAAACCCCCGAGCTTGAATACCTACTTAGCAAGGTTAATTGATTAAAATGTGGAGCTACAGATGATACTTTCTCCCCAGTCCTCATTCACCTGCCCCTCACCCTGCCCATGGAAAGCAGGTGTCCTGGGATCTCCTATCACAGAGAACAGTGGCTCAGTGGCACAGGATCATAGACGTGCCATTATCCTCACAAGTTTTTTTTTTTTTTCAAAAAAATTTCCATCTTCCATTTTCAATCCCACAAATAAACAAGAAGTTCTTCCAATAATGAAAACTATTCCAGCTCTGAGATCATCTTTTATAGAACCAAACATTTTGGACATCAGTCATTTCCAGTGAGATTTATAATGGTCAGAAACCAAGGCACAGTAGCCTCAGAGAAGTCTTGTAGTTGACAGCCTCAAAAGAAGGGTATAGCATATTTCACTTTCCCTGTAAGGAGATGTTGTGTGAAAAACCCAACACCTTAATTTCATAGATAGAGAAACTGAGGCAGAGAAAGCTGAAATGGGTTAAATGAATTTACATGAGTAATAAGTCAAATAACCAACATTTCTACTCTAGTCCTTTTTCTCTAAAACCAGGGCTCTTTTCACTACCCTCTGATGCTACACACATTTCTGACATTCTAGCTAAAAGAAATATGGTGGCAGTCTTCCCAAGGACACTAGTGTTGAGGTTTCTTCCCCCACCCCATTGAGCCACTATCCCAGAGTTTTCCCTCCCACTTAAATGAATTTTTCTTAATATTCCTTCCATTGATCACTTTGTACCTAGGTTTTCATCTGATAGAATTATAGAATTTTATATTCAGAACATTCCCCAGTAGACATCAGTCTAGCCCATCCATACATGAATAAGAATCCTGCCTACAGACATCCAACAAATGATCATGCAGTCTTTGCTCAAAGACTTCAGTGAGGATAACCCGCTCCCTGAAATGGTGCTTGTTTAGCAAAAGAAAAGAAAACCTTGCAACTATTGTAGGAAAACCCTCTCTAGCCCATTACACTGCAGGGGACTCTTGACTATAGTCTTCATGTGTCACACCCTTCCCCACCCCCAATGACCCTGATTGTTCACAAGAAGGGAGGGTAAGGGGCATGGAGAAAACAGTAGGAAGACCAACTCAAGGCCTATCCTCTATGGAAAAATTGTCCTGATTCTCTCACATGTTAGTACGCACAATCTCAAACCACTTTTTATTCATTTAAGTGTTATCATATTTATCTTAACATACTTGAATATGTCTTTGCGGTCTTACCAGTTAGAGTGTATGCTACTTGCTCATCAGGATTGTTTCATTCTTGGTATCTTCACCCCTTCTTCTAGCATAGTACTTGGTACATAGTAGGTTCTCCATAAAATGTTCATTAATTGATTAAAGATATATCTATACACATACCAACATTGTGGAGTGATTCTTCAGCCCAGAGCTACATTACAGACAGGTAAACACAACCATCGACCATGAACATGGCACTAGTCACGTCGAAGCCAACTGGGAGGGGTGGAATTGGCACAGACAATTTTACCAGAAAACAGAGATTGTTCTCCAAGCCCACAGAAGCAACCTCTCTACTTCTTTAGAGAGGGAGGCCATGACACAGGTTATTGGAAGCCATGAGGGCAGGAAGTATGAGAGTCTCCTAAGACAGTCAGAGCAACCCATTCTTTCCCCTAAGTCTGGGAATTCATGTTCCCAAGGAGGTAAGCTGTATGCACTCCCCTCTGTAAGCCTTCTTCTTTGGACTGTATGGGGAACTGGAAAATGGGTTATCTAAACAGATCCTATTTCTTAAGGCAGGTGCATTTTCAGGGATTTAAGAAACATAAATGAGGTTAACACACCTGCTTGATGGAATAAGAAATCTGCCCCAAAGGCCCTGAACTGAAGCCTTCCGATTTTAAGATGGTATAAGTGATTTGGATGACCTCACCAATGTGCTCAGTCTACAGACTCAGCATTACCTGAGGCATTAGAAAGCTATTTAGAAAAATACTCTGAGGAGCTGGATGGATGAGGCTGCAATACTTGGAAACATTACAGAAAGGGGCTTTTATGATTTTGACTTTCAGCTCTTGCCTGGAAAGTGGCAAGCACCATTTATCAGCAGCTTTACAACATAATTGTGTTGTCCGGTAACAGATTTTTTGGGAGGGGGGGGTGGAGGTGGAAATTGTGATCATGAGTCAAATCATCTCTTTTTTATATATAACTGTAATTTCATTTCCTCATACTTTTATAGATGTGACTATATAGCTATAAAATATGGAGTATCCTTTGAAATGTCTTCCCTGACCAGAAGTATTGCATTTCAAAGGGGAGTTTCAAAATGGAGCAAATACTTCACTGAAATCTATGTTTCTTCAAGAAACATCACTTGTGGCCAGATTCCATAGGATGGAGAAATAAAAGAGAAATGCACTGGCTCGGTCACTGTAGGGACATTTGGCCATTGGGCATCTGTGGCCTTTATCGGAGGAAAGGGGATAATTATGAAAATCACCACCGGCACCAATTGGTCACTTTAAGATTTATAACATGTTTTATAGAATTCTCAGACACGTCGGGAGATTTTGAAAGAGAGAAACTTTTCTTTGGAATAGAAACTCCTGTAGCTGGTAAAGCAAGATCGGAAAATCTTAGAATCCCAAGGTTGGAAGAACATTGGTTTCCAACCATCCACTCAATCCCATGCCTGAATATTGAGTGATATCTCCTCGACAATATCCCTAACAAATGGTCACCTAGCCACCACTTGCAGACTGAGCATCCATTAGGGTTATTGACTTAGAGTTGGAAGAGACCCCACTCCTTCAGTTTAGAGAAACTGAGGCCCAGAGAGGTCAAGTCCCTTGCCCAAGGTCATAAAATATTCCATGGAAGAACAGGGAATTACTAATCCAGCATATTTTCTACTGTAAGGGAGTGGAAGAGGGAAGGAAATAAGCATTTATTAAGTGCCTACTATGTGCTAGGAACTATACTAAGCACTGCACAAAATACTATCTCATTTGAAATTGATACAAGATTCTTCCCATTATGCTAAGCCCTGCAGTCAACCTGTGCCTTCTTGCCATGAGCTAACATGGGCTAGGGGAAGCTCTCTAGCCAGGTGACAGGCTTCCAGAGGTAGAAACCCTGGGATAAAAATAATAATAATAATAATAATAACAACAACAATAGTAGTAGTAGTAATAACAGCTAGCCCTTATATAGTGTTTAAGGTTTGCAAAGTACTTTATAAATATGATCCTATTTTATCCTCACAACAACCCAAGGAGGTAGGTGCTACTATTATCCCCATTTTACAGATGAGGGAACTGAGGCTGAGAGATGAAGTAAATTGCCCAGGATTGTACCACTAGTAAGTATCAGAGACAGGAACTGAACTTGAGTGTTCCTGACTACAAATCTAGTGTGCCAATGACACTTGAGGACCTTCCTGGAGAGGCTCCCTCAACACATCTGTTATCTCTTCTGCTGATGGACTTCAGGGTCTCTCTACCTTTGGCCCTCTTCCAGATCTGACCTCTGCAAGTCTTTCCTTCCAAAGTTAAATGTCAAGGAAGTGAGTGTAGAGGGGAAGGAGTGTCGGCTTTGGAATCGAGAGATCTGGGTTTGCACCCCAATTCTGACATAGACTACCTACGTGACATAGGACAAATTTCAGTTTTTCTGAAATGCGGTTTTCTTGTCTGTTCAATGAGGTGGTTGAAGTCAGTGATCTCCAAACTCTCTTCCTGATCTAAAGTGGGGCAGCAGATAGAAGGCTGAACTTTGGAGTCAGAAAGTCTTCAGTTCTAATCCATCCCCAGACACTTATTAGCTGGGGGAGCCTGGGAAAGTCTCTTAACATCCTTCAGACTCAGTTTCCTCATCTGTAAAGCACTTTGCAAATCTTAAAGCATCATCTAAAATGATTGGGAAGCTTATGATCCCCTGATTCTGGAGAGAACACACTTTGCCACCAACACCCTGGGTCCAATGTCAGTTACCTCCTCCTACAACTGACCGGCTCCCAGGACTCATCGCTGGCAGGCCTTCTGGTGTTGCCTTCTGCTCTTCCTCTGGCTTTAGTGCCACCCTGAGATTGGCCCCTGGTCTTGGCACAGAAAGAGGGCCTTCCCGTTCTTTAGTGGACTTCTGCTCCCTCTCTCTGGTTTTCACTCGAATCCCGTGGGAAAGTGTAGCCCAGGACACAACCCAGACCTGGGAGGGTTCCACGGAGACCACCAGGGGCTCCATTATAGGCATTGAGGATTGAGGGCTTAAACCAACTGGGATGCAGCTCAGCAGAGAGTCTGAGGGAATTGATCCTGCCTCAGGGGGCATGATTTCACTTGTTTTTTTGTTTTGTTTTTTTTCATTTTTCTAATGTACATGCATTTGTTTTTACTGAGACTGAACAAATATGACACTATTTATTTTGGTTAGCATTTGTAGACTGCTTTGAGGTTTACAGAGTACTTTATAAATTGTATCTCATTTTATCTTCAAAACAACCCGGGAAAGCAAGTGCTATAAATTTTCTCCCTATTTTACAAATGAGGAAAGTGAAGCAGAGTATAGTTAGGTGACTTGCTTTGGGTCATACAACCCTGAAGGTATGAGGCTGATTTGAACTCAGGTCTTCTTAACTCCAGGTCCAGCACTCTACTCACTGAGCCATGCACGTTGAAACACGTTTCATCATTCCACACCATCCACTAACAATACAGGCATACGTACTCATACACACTCACACACATAAACCCTGACACTCACTCACACACATATACACACTCATACACACTCACATAAACCCTCACACACACATACACACACTCATACATACATGAACCCTCTCACACACTCACACATACACACACTCACACACACTCACACACATATATACACTCACACACTCTCACATAAACCCTCACACACATACACACACTCATACACACATGAACCCTCTCACACACTCACACACTCACACACACTCACACACACACTCACACTCACACTGCACAGTCTGACTTTGTTTATCTTTTCAACCTACACTAAGAAGAAAGCAACGAAGGAGGCTAGGAGTCTGGTGGGCAGAGGCTTTCACATGAGCTGCATTAGTTCCCAGTCTATCCCATGATCTGACTCAATGATTTTGACAGGAAGTAAGTCTTCTCACCCAACTGCACATTGCTGTGTGTCTTGAGAATTTAGGGGAGTGGGTTGGACTTGGAAACTTGGCAGTCCTGGACAAGAGCAGCTGAGCAGCAATGATTGTTGACCAATGAGGTGAAGGCTGGTGGTTGGCATTCACATCTCAGCTCAGGAAATACCATTTCTAGTAAACAACTGCTCTTCTGCCCAGGGTAGTTGGGGCTCTCAATACTGGCTACATTGTCTTGAAGAATGAGTTCCTTTCTTTGGTTGGGGAGAAATCTGCTTGGATGGTCAGAGTGTGCTGCATTTGAGAACTATGCAAAAGAGGGATGGGGATCCTCAGGAGGTCATGGATGTCCTCCCCTCACTGGGGGTCTTAAGAGGAGACTGCGTGACCACTTGCAAGGGATGTGGTGGGGACAGGCATGGTAGGAGTCAATGGACTTTGATGTGCAGCATAAAGCTGAGTTCTGGACCTTCCAAAGTGGGGAAAGATGCTCCAAACAGAAAATAAAAAGCAACATGGTTTAAGGATTGAAGTATTTGGTGTGGAATTAGGAAGATTTGTGTTCAGATTCTGCCTCTGATGATTTCAGACTAGGTAACCATGGACAGAACACCAAATCTCTTCATTGCCCCAGGCAACTCCAAATTATAGGCCATGTTGATCTGTATTAATGGAGAAAACCTTCTACCCTAGCTGTGTGACCTTGAGCAAAACCGAAGCCTCTCTGAATTTCAATGTTCTCATCTATAATCTTACTTGCAGTACCTACTGGGAAGTGTGCTATTTGGAGGCTCAAATGAGAATGGTAAGGACAATGGCAATGTCAGCTGTGATCACTAATGATCTCATCTCTTTCAAAGTCTGGTTCTGATGATTGCTAAGTTTGGAATCTTTGTAAGAGGAAAGAAAGAAAATCATCCTGTCCTCCCTCAATCAATCAGCAAACATTTATTGTGTGTCTACTATGTGCCAGGCACTGTGCCGAGTACTGGAGATACAAAAACAGTAACTGGAGTCCCTTCTCCCACAAGGGAACAAAGGTCCAAGGAGAATAGGCTGAACCTGGACCCTTCATCCAAGCCCATCTCTGCCATTTCATGTCTGGGTAACTTTGGGCCAGTCCCTTAAAATCTCTGGGCCTTGGTTTCTTCCTATGAAAAATGAAGGGGTTTGACCATACAACCTCTCTGGTTCTTTCAGCTCTGGAGCCATGATTCTGTGATCCCAAATAAATATAAAATGCATGCAAGTTAAGTACCAAGGCTCCTTGGGCAGTATTTATGCACATGGGTGAAAGCCAAATACCCAACATTCCAATTTCCCTTCAACTCTGCTTATTTCCTAAGTGATAACATTTAAGCTTAATTTTCCTTTCGGTAATGGAGCACCAGCAGCTGTTGACCAAATTCTGCAGACGTGCTGGAAAGAAACTGGCAAATAAACAGCTTACTTATCATGGAAACTATGTTCTTGTTATCATTGGCTCCAGGCTGGGCTGTAAAAGGAAAGTGGGTGATGGAGGTAAACAGAGTCACGAATTCCAGCTGAACTTGGGCTCTCTTTGCAGGCTACGTGTCGGACCCCATGAGTCCCATGGCCTTCCAGGCCCCTCACCATGGGGGCAGCTTGGAGGACAGCAGCTGACCAGCCAGGCATCTACCTGAGGAGAGACTGGCTTCCCACCAACCATCTCAAGCCTCCTGGGCAGCCAGGCTTCCAATTACAGAGGGAGAGTTCATCCCGAGAGATCACTTGAAATGGCTTTGCTTATTTACTGATTCTGTGTAATTTTCAGCCACAAATTGGGCTGTGGATTTATGTCGAAAATATTAAAATGCAAAAGAATGAAGCTAGAAATGGAGGTTGAAAAATCGTTTTTAATTTTGTAAACTAACACTAAGTTAATCACTATATTCATTATTTCATAGTATTATTTGGAGACAGTACTGCAGTCCAGAGTGGTCCATGTTGTCATTAAGCCAGCAAGCTTGTTTCTGAGCTGAATTGTGGAGAAACATGGCTTTGAGAATTGGTGGTTATTTTCTCAGATTATTGCTCTCCTCTCTCTCTCTCTCTCTCTCTCTCTCTCTCTCTGTCTCTCTCTCTCTCTCCTTTCTCTTGTCTCTGTCCCTCTGTCTCTCTGTCCCTCTGTCTCTCTGTCTCTTTAGGTCTCTTGCTCTTCTCATTTTTTGGGGGGGAGTTTGGATTAAGTATTTTAGAAACATATAGAACTGAGTGCAGATTTGTGTTCATTGCATTTTGACGACAGAACTTTTGCAGTTAAGACACTTGAATTGAGGGGGGAGAGGGAGAGGGGAAAGAGGGAGAGGGTGAAAAGATAGGGAGAGAGGAAAAAAGGAAGACAGGTAGATTTAAAAAAAAAAGATGCATCCATCCTCTAGAGCTTTGCCCCAAAATGGCCTCTTATATATTTAAGGTCATTTTTGTCATCAGTCTAATTGAAGACAACAAATTTACATTAAGTACCTACTACGTGCAAGACACTGGAGATGCAAAGACCAGAATGAAATAGCTCCCGACCTCCAAGTCCATGATTAGATTCATGGACCCAAATTCCTCCCCTCCCCACAGTGGGAGCACAATTACATGGCGCCGCTAATGAGGAATGCTGCTCCCCCCTTCCCAGGCAAGAGCGGAAAGTCAAGACCATTGGTCCCAGACCACAGATTTCGAGCTGGGAGGGATGTCCACTATGCCAAGCCCCTTTCTGTAATGCTTCCAGATGTTCTGTGGAGTGGAGGGGGAGTAGGGAAAGGCCAACACAAACCCCCCCAAAACACCAAGAAATGCAGGGGATGGGGGGTCACAAAGTGTGGTGGATGGACTTGGAGTTGGAGGGCCTCATTGGCATCCGTCCTGCCTCTGCTGCTTATCACCTGTCATTTGGGGTGAATAACAACCCCTGCAATGAGGTGCTCCCATTTTACAGATGAGGAGGCTCAGTGGCGTGTCCAGGGAAGTCCTGTCCAACAGGCTCCTAGGAAAGGCTTCTTGTCAGAGGTGGCCCTTGAGCTGGGCCTGTAAGGAAGCCCAGGGCTCCCTATCTGGACAGGTGAGCAAAACGGGGAGAGGGAAGCCAAGCAGAAGCGTCCACTCCAACAGCTCACCTGCCCATGCACTCGGCCCCTGGCTTTAATTTCTGAGGCCCCAATGTAACATTCGGCCAAAGCCTGCCATCTCACATCCAAAGACTCATCACTTAAGTGAACCTGCCACTAGCCGAACTCTGTGAGAGAATGCCTGAGGGGCAGCAGCCTGTTTCAATGGAGAGCTGCACCTGAAGTCCTGGGTTTGAATCCTGACATCACTTATTTATTGACTAGCCCTCTTCCTCTCCAGCCTCAGTCTCTTCTCCTGTAAAATGGAGGCTTTGGACTTCACTTCTAAAACTACAACCCTGTTAGGCACTGGGTGACACCAACTTGATGAACAGAAACATCTTCTCTCACTGGGAAATAGATCTGGGAACATCCAAACAGGATCTCAGCTTTGGATCCAATTGGACCATGCATGAGTCACTCCTGGCTGGATCTTGGATTTGGTATTTACAAAGTGAGTGGTGGGGATGGCTTTCCAAGTCTCAATCCATCAATCAACTAGCATTTATTGAGCACTTACTGTGTGCCAGGTTCTGTGCCTAGCATGGGAAAATAAAGAAAGAATGCGGCACCAGTTCCTGCCCTGGGTTTACATTTCCAAGGGAGAAGCAGATGTGTGTACATTGGTGTATCCAGGCTTGACAGGAGGTAGGAGGTAACCTCAGAGGGGAAGGGGCTGAGAAAGGAAGGAAAGGGAAAAGCAGAAGGCCGTGTATGAGCTGAATCTCAAAAGAAGTCAGAGGTTCTGGAGAGCCTCTTAGGCATGGAGGACGGCCATGCAAAGACCAAGGGATGAGAGGCATGTCCTGGGTGAGGGTCGGTGACTGAGACCCAAGCAGATCCATCCATGGGAAAGACAGAGTTTTCATGTCCCACCAATGAAGGTTATTATTGTCGTTCAATTGAAAAACACGCACTTGGAGACCCAGCTTAGTGCTTAACCAACATTTGCTGCTTCTGGTTTGGGGAGTCAGAAGAGCTAGGGGCTCAAACGTCACTGCGGGAAGCATTGAGGATAAGGATTAAATGGTGTACAGGGACACGCACAATTTAAATCTTATTGTGTGTTCTGCACCCTTTTGGGCAGTGGTCTGGTAAACCCATGGAGCCTTCTCAAAATAATATTCTTAAGTATATAAAATAAAATACCTAGAATCACAAAGAAAACAATTATAATGAAATACAGTTGTTAAAGTGTTTGTAAAAAGCAAAGTTCCCATGGCCCCAGGTTATTTTGTCACTAAGGGGGGGGATGAACTTGGGAAAAGCAGCATCTGGAGAGGCAGGGGAAGTCGACCATCCTAGGCAATGGCAGCATCACTGGGGCTTCCCTGAGATGGACTGCACTGGCCTCCTCAATAGCCAGAGCAGCACTCCCATCACCAAGGACCCTGAACGTCTCTCCCACATCCTGTGATGAGTTGGGTGACAGTCTGTGGTTAGTCCAGAAGAGGACATTCAAACCGTGGCACTTCAACCTAACTTTGTCCTTTCTTAGCCTCTGCCCTTGGCATCCCCCACTCCCATTATTATGGAGTCAGACACCCTACATACAGTGCCTTTGAGGAAACCAGAACTTACTAGTTATCAGAAGTGATTGATAGGATGGATAAGGCCAGAACTGGTATTGTGGAATGAATGTTGGACTTGGATTAGGGAAGATCTAAATTCAAATCCTGCCTCAGACTCACTAGCTGCATGACCTTGGGCAAATCACTTAACCTCAGTTTGAGACTCAGTTTCCTCATCTGTAAAATCTGTAAACAGTACCTGCTTTACAGGTTGTGAGGATCAATGGATATAATGTATAAATAATTGATAGGGTTAATAAGATGGTATTTATGGCTAGAACAAGTAGAGAAAAAAAGAGATGATGGGATAAGAAATATCTGTGCCCTCTGGCCCTGTACCCTTTCCCTTCCCTTTCAGTTACTTTAGGGAATAAGCCACATTCAAGAGTAAGAGGGTTTATAGTTTAATTTATTTGGTAATTCAACAGATGAAGAGTTTATGAGTTGAAATGAATACCTAACGAAGTGGGGAGAATCACTGAACAATTTTAACTAAAAGATTTACAGTGTGTAAGGCATAATGGGCATCTAATCAGGAATGTGTTAGGGCAAGGTTGGGATCCTCCCAGGTTTCTAATGAATTGACTAATGGTATATTCAGAGAGTGTGCTGTTTGTTTCTGGGAACAACCATTTGAGCAAGATTTTTAAAAATATCATGGCGGATTTTCTGAGTCCCTTTCTTGTTTCATCTCATTAGCCACCTCTTCTCTCCATTCCCCATCTCATATGTGGCTGGTTCCCTTCCTCTCCAGTCTTGTCAAGTATCTGCAAATAATGAGACTAATGTGTCTTGATTCCTCTGGGTGGGAACCTTTGGAATGATGGATGCCACCTGTAGGGCTTCCTTTTCTCTCATTAGAGCCCCCAAAATAGGGCACCTAGATCATCTCCAGGCTTCTATCTTCATGAACGTTTTTTTTTTTTTCCCTACTAAAAAATGTCCCACTAATTGCTTCCCTGTCTGCTGGTAAAAATGAACTTTTAGGATCATGTTTTTGCATGCTTAGCACATTAGCCTTTTTTTTTTCATGTGTATGCAATGTGAGGCTTACTTTGAAGCTGTTCAATTAGCTATAATTGTAAGCCAAATTACAGCAGCACCAGGAGAGAGATATTCCAACTGAGGGAGGTTTTAGGTTAAATTATTTCCAGGGCTGCCATTTTCCTCAGAAAAAAGGAGAGAAGTTGTAGGGGAGTCAGTGCCTATGGCAGAGGGGGTGAAGGAATGACATTACCCAAGCCATTTGGACCAGAGCACCCTCTTGTCCTGCTCAGGAAAGGTTGACCAATGGACTCAAAAGTCAGGAAGAAAAGTGAAGGGAGTGGAGACTTCTCACTCTTTCCTGGGGAATGATCTTTAGGGAATGGATATAGGACTAAAACTCCATTGGCTCTATCTGAACAGAAGTCTCAGATTGGAATTCGTCCAAGAGCTATGTGTCCTCTGGCCTCCTGGCCTCGGTTTCCTTTGTTTTCTTTTGTTGTCATCACAACAAAGCCTACAGCAACTAGAGAGAAGGGAGCTCTCATGCCTGCTGTTGCTTAGGACTCGTCTCAAGGACACAGCAGAGAATAGTGGGTGGAGCACAGCACTTGGACTGGGGATTTATCTGGATTCAAATCCGGGCTCAGCTACTTAGCAGCTGTATGCCTCTGGCCAAGTCACTTAATTTCGGTGTCCCCCGTTTTCTCACCAGTAAAATGAAGGGTGTGGACTTGATGGTGTCTCTGGTCCTTCCGGCTCTGAGTCTCTGGTCCTGGTTCATAAATGACTTCTACCTCTGCCCTCCCCTGATAAAGCTCATGGCCATTCCCCACCATGCACATCTGGGAGTTCTATATCGGGACCCTGAGGGGAGGCCTCCTATGGGCTAGCAGCTACTAGCCCCTATGCCCACTGCCTGACCAGCCCCTTCCATTTGTGGAGATGCACACCTCTAATGATACTTTCC